AATAACTTTAATCTTAGCCAAACCGATTTACTCAGGAACAAATAAAACACTGAAAAAAGCCAAACAATAACATTTAAGTTATCTGAGTGACTTATATATATCATGTTTAACCTGAGTAGCCAAAGACGGCGGCGGGTCTGATAACGAAGTGCCGGGTGTCCGCTGTTCTCTAGTGAGCCTCGACGTCCCGGTCAGCTATCGAGCTGGTGGGTAGCAGACGTCTCCAAAAACGTTTCACTTTTGCAAATATGCGATATCTTGATAAACCAAGCAGATATTTGAACTTTACACAGCTACTTTCTCACCTGAAAATATGTTAGAAGTTTATTTTGTGACACAGAAAGATTAATAAGAGTAATATTAAAGCTTGGTAGCAGCCGCCATTGTTGGAAACTGGAATTGACTGGGCCACGCTATAAATTCTGGGATATGGTCGGCCACGAAGGACACACCCGACCCATCCTTCAAAATCTGGGAAAAGGAGGACACATTTGTCGACTACATTCGGAGGAGTCTACGAATCTGGACAGCCTTCGTCGCGTCACTGTCAGCAGGGGGGGGCGGGGGGGGGCTAACTGCCAAATACCTCAAATTGAATTCTGCATTAAATCATGTTCAGTTGTTTCTAATCTTTCCTTATTGAAATAATATGTTTAATACAACTACTACACATGTCAGTTTAAAATTATAATAAGACATTCATTATATTATATTAAATGTTTTGTATCTTTGTGATTTGTCTGTTCCCTTTTCCTGTTGTATAAACTCACTTTAGATCAGCTAATTCTACATACTGAACTAGCAGCTGGTTCCTGTCTGTACCTGGTGTAATATTTATTTTAAAATGGTGAATATATTGTTTGCAATGTATAAAGCTACTGTTATTAAACATGTTATATTATAGTATATAAGCATATTAATTACATATAAGTCACTTATATCTTATAAATGAGATATTTAGGTGGAATATTTTTTCTAAAATAATAAATTTACTATGTACTAACACAACAACAGGCCAAGAAAGCCTTGAAATAATCAAAATAATCTGATTAGGTTCCTAATCAGCTGTTCTGAGTAATAGGTTTATAAATCCAGGGTAAATAAAGTCAGACCATCTGTAATGTTTGAACACCAGCACTGACAGAAGTGAGAAACTGCCCATGTCTGGTCTCACGAGAGTGAGGTTTGTTTTCAGGAAATGGGGAGGTTGCAGCAGTTGTAGTTTGAGACGTCTGGTTTGAAGAAACCACGTGATGCTTTTTACTTCCTCTGACAGTTAGGCCTCTCTGCGTCTCTTCTTTTGTGATCTGAGACATACAGAGATGGCGGGTACAAGGTGAGTTCATTTTAAATATGAAATCTCATTATTCTGTTGTCTCTGTGATTGGTTTGTTTTGGTGTGTGTCTGCAGGTCTCACCACTGCGTTACTGGGGTTCACGTTTGTTTACTTTCTGTAGGCCTCCGCTCACTTCTGGCTGAAATTAAAAATAGGCCAATAATAATAGGAATAACCCAAAATGAGCATAAAGATTTCATTTGCTTATTTTTTTAGACCAATCTCATCTGAAGTTATGGAAACATTGTAACAGTCTCTGATTCAGACTATGAGGTTATGATAGTAAGACTTCATGCATGACTGACGGTCCAGCTTCCGTTGTTTGGAGGGTTTCATTTTGTTTCCGGTTAATGAGGCTTCACTTCTCATCATGTCAGTTCTGAGACCTGATCATATTTTTAAGTGTGCTGTTTTTATGATGTGGTTTTATGTCACAGTCAGTTACTGAAACAGCTCAAACCCACAGAACTGCAGACACGAGGGACGATTCAAACATATGTCAATGTCATAAAAAACAAAACGATCAGTGTTTAATGTTTTTATTTGCATTTTCTAACACACTTACCAGACATTTCAACAATATATTTAAATGTAATATTGCGCACTAAGAGTTCAGGAAGTACATACAAACCATCAGCTTCTTTCTATAACCCCACATTCTCCAGCCCTACCCTCTTTTTTTAAATTATTTGATTAACCACATTTTAGGAGGAAGACCAAAGTGTTACGAGATGGTACAACCTCTGATGTACACCAAACTTTTCATTAAAACTGTTGAAAAAAGATGTGACTAGGGATTTCAAGAAATGCTGTTTTTTTTAATGTTGTTGATTGTTTTTCCATTGTATTCTCCAGGAAAAGTGTAAACTTCATCCTACTCTTTTCCAGCACACACATTGTGTGGACATAGAGATATACATGAAAACTTGATGTTTTTTTAAGTTGTGCTTTTTCTTCTTTTCCTCTTATTTCAGTTATATTTCCATGTTTGAAATAATAATCTCTCTCTCTCGCCCTCACTCCCCCTTTGACTTTTGAGGGAACTGTTGTTGTGATTTGGCAGGATATAAATAAAAGACAATGGTTGTTTACACACCTGACACGTGGTAAAATTCTGTCACCAGAATCATGTGGCCTGGAAGTATCTGCATGGCAGCAATAAGAACTACTTGAATTCTCCAGATACTAAGAAAAAGAGCTTCAATGTTTCCCTTATTAACGTCTTTAGAAGAGGAAAATTGCTGTTCTATAAAATACACCATCCAGCCATTCATGTAACAGCAACAGAACTGTAAATGTCAAGTAACAGTGTGTTTTACATTCCATGCCAAAAGCTGCTGACACTGCCAGTTAAATACAACCGGATACACCCTTCTCTTGTTCTAAGTCCTGGTTAATTTTCCTACCCAGCTTTCCTTATATTGTTTCCCACTTAGATCGAGGAAAACTGGTTAGAAAAGGAGAGAAGGGGTACTATTTAAACATACCCTCAGTCTTTGTAGTCAGCTCTACCCCCTTGTACCCTCAGTCAGCTCTGGTTTCCTTGCAGCTGGATAGCAGAAAGGCAGACATTGTGTAACTAAAGTGAAGCAAACAGGAAAAAGTCAAACTGTCCTCAGATCCTTTTGTGGATGGAACTTCTGAATGTTCAGTCACTCAGTTTAAACAAACAGGTGGAGGAGGAGTGGATGAGAAGTCAGGGTGGATGTAAACAGGTGAATAGACGCAGACAGAGCCATTTCAGTTGAGTTTAACTGATTCTAATATTACATATTTCATTAAATGTATTTTTATTTAATCGTGGTTAATTTAACATTACGCATAATGGGTGTTTAAAAGCTACTTTTTCAATAAATTGTAAAATAAACTTTCAGTGGGGGGATACAAATTCTACAAAGTATTTCCCAAAGTACACAAATGAAAAGAGTGAGAAAACAGTCTATGTACGTTTTTACCTGAGAAAATGGTTACCCATACTGCCTGGGGAAACATAATATTCTTCATTATTTTAATGGGAAATAAAATGTAATATCATAATACATTTTCTCTAAAGTGGATTGTTTAAGAGCATAGAAATATAAATTCACAGACATAACTAACTGTAAAGCTATGAAATGATAAAAATGATTGTTTTGTTTTTCATGTGCAGAATCACGAACCTGCAGAGTACCGTGAAACCACCAGTGATTCAGGCTCCACAGCGCAGCACAGCGACACAGGGAGCCGTGCAGATGCGCATTAAAAACTCTCCGAGCTCCGGAGAACGTCTGAGTCAGTCCAAGTCGATGGTGCTGCAGGAGACCGACCTCCCTCAGAAACCTGTACGTAAATCACAAAGAAGCACCAGCCTGCAGGAGACGCTTCTGTTTTAATGAACATGTCTTTTGCAGATCTCTCGACACCGCAGGAATCAGTCTCAGCACAATGTTGTGGTAGCAGGAGCTGCAACATTTGAACCTCTGGTAATTACAACCTATATAATCATTACATTCCTCCTGTTTTCAAAAAGTTCCTTCACAGATTCGGTTTAATCTCCTCTCTCCACATCTGACTCCCCCCACATTCACTCTTCTGTAACATGATCTTACTTTGTCATTTTGCTTTTCATTTGCGATCCACAACAACTGATCCCAGTGAAGATTGGTCATCATTTATGAAAACAAAAAAAATCTACTTCCCAATTAAATGAATAAATGTTTCAACGACAGCACAGTGGCGTACGAAACAGTGATTAGCACTGTTTCCTCACAGCAAGAAGGTCCTGAGTTTGATTCCACCACCAGTCTCTCTGCGTTAGCCCTGTGACAGACTGGTGACATGTCCAGAGTGTAAGCATTTAAAATACTTACAGTGTAATTTGTGCTTCCCTTCTTCTTTATCATCATCTTTATTTAGAAAGCAAGTGCTGCACATTGGAACTAAATAATAAAAATTCATAATATATAAATAAGATCCAAATAAAAGAAAGTGAAATAGTTAATTAATTAATAATTAATTTAATTTTAAGAAAAACTAAGTCTCATTGAGGCCAAAAGCCAAAGAATTAAAAGGGGTTTTAAGACATTGTGGTGGGGCGTGGTTCGTGTGGGGGAAGCTGACACACCTGAGCTCGAGCTCAGGCATATTAAACGTGCCAGCCCAAATGGAAAAGATATATATTAATCTTATCAAGCTTGTATCTGTCTTGTGTGAAACTTGTATGAAAAGCATACAAGAGTGAAAACAGATATAAGATCCCTTGAAAAATTATATAAATGAAACTTGTATGTTTTGGATACTTACTAAAACTATATATGAAAGTAATGAGAAAGTGGCCGCTTTCATGAGTAAATCATGTAAGCCTTATATGACTATATGAAGTAGGCCACATCTGATGCAAGTCTTTTATAAGTTTTTACTATTTCTTTTCCATATGGGAGGACCTGAGGAAGTGTTTGTTTGTTTGGTTGGGTTCGTGTTATGTGTGGGATGCAGCTGAAAAGCTGTGGCCGGGAGTTGTAGATGCAGCAACCAGGAATAAAAAGTGTGTAAAGAGTGAAAGTATGTAGTCGGGGCCGTCATTGCTGTCACAGACGTGTTTTAAAAGTGGACAGTGAAGGGCCCTCTCTAACATGCAAGGGCAGGTTATTCTATTATTTAGGAGCCACGATAGAAAAGGCCCCACCCCCTGTGAGCTTCCTCCTGGATCTCAATACTTCCAGGAGCAGCTGGTCAGCTGACCTGAGAGACTGACAAGGTGTGTGGGGATGAAAAAGCTCAGAGAGGTAGTGAAAGAATTTAAAAACCAAACTTGAGAATCTTAAAATGAACTCTAAAAGACACAGGCAGCCAATGCAGTGAGGCCAGGACAGGGGTTATATGCTCTCTTTTACGAGTTCCTGTTATGCAGT